AAGTCTTTCTAGCAAAGGGATCGCCTCTACTAGGAGCCCTGATTGCTTTTTTCCTCCAGGCTGCGGGCCACCGCTAGTCTGCAGAAAGGCAACCTCAGCTAACACTGACAAATGTGACACCCGGCTTCCCAGAACTTGGCTCCCCAAAAAACCCCACCAGGTGCACCCGTCGCGTTAGAAAGGTAAGACGACCGATATTAAAATAGGAGCTGCTTTGGTGTGTAGAACAACAGAAAGGGTTTTTTTAAGTGGTCCGCTGAGACCCTCGGCAATTTTCAAGTGGTTGCGGGGCGTGAAAAAAGTTTGAGAACTGCTGCTCTGGACTAATACGGATACAGCCTGGATACCTGAGTCAGGCTCGCGCACAGGTGGGCCGCAGGCCTCCTGCAGCTGGATGGGGAAGGAGGGGATCTGCCTCCAAAGCGTGGCCGGCGGGCAAGACCCCGTCACTGGTGCCCGGGGGAAAGGGCGGTGTGTGACTCCGTACATGCATGGACAGAAAGGGAGATGGCAGCCCTGTGGAGGTCCCGGGAGGTCCCCAAAAGCTCGCTGGGGGACACGAGATGAGCGAAAGGCCACGTGAGCAGGAAAGGCCCAGCGCTGCACAGCCGGGCACACGGGCCCTTCCTCCACAGGGCTTGGGGTGAAGCTGCTGAGGACGGGCACAGAGGGCTGGGAGAGCTCAGGGGACACCCAGCCTGCCTCCCAGCACGGGGGCACAACCTGGCACTCCTAGGGCAGCAGCACAGGAACCGCTGAAGGGCGGAGCGGGCCTGTGTGTATCTGTACATACACGTATTGGCTTATACAAAATATATGCACATCTACTCAGATACACATGCACACATATATACACATCTGTGTGTATATATACACACATACACATCTGCATAGATGTATACGTACACACATACAGAATACACATAAACAGACAAGGTTCTTCGGGTACTCAGCCTACACCCCTAAGACACATAAATACATGTTTATCCGTATATATGCACGCATATATACACCCATGTGTACAGATGTGCACACATATGTAAGCGCACACACCCCTATATGTGTGTGTATGCATGTACATTCATGCGTAAGGAGCTGCAGCCAGGCCCGGCTCCCCTAGTCCCTTTCCCAAACCTCGCGCCCGCCCGCCCGCACGGCGTTTCGGCCTCTAGGCCGCGCGTCAACCTCGGGATCAACCCTGCGGTGCGTGTGCGCAGGCGCGGCGCGGGGGGAGCGGAAGCGCGGAGCACATTGCGGCAGCGGCGCGCGGC